CTATTATCTATATCCTCTATTTCTACCTTATAAGTATAGGAATTATGTCTAATCTTACTATAATACCTATAGTGTTGTCTAACACGCACCCTCTTTACAGGTATCTTACCCTTACTACAACCCCTACCCTCCTTTTTAGTAATTAAGTTAGCTACTTTACTAACTATAAGGGTCTCCTCTGCGTGTATATATTATTGCTTACAGGTCTTGCGCTTTATAGATGCTTCTACAGCGTCTTAAAGGCAGCCTATTTCCTCCTGTATTAACACTATATTATAAGCTATCTGCTAAGCGCCCTTTGCTAACTATTTAACCTGCTCATCTAACAAACTTACTAGAGACCCTTAATAGATTTAAATCTGCTTTTAAATTAGAGTTAACTGCTCCTCTACTTTGTAAGCAGTGCATGGTGTCTTTAGCTCCTAGGCAATGTTGCTAGGTTTTAGTGGCGTTGGCGTGCGCAGGCGCACATCAAGCTTTAATAACACTACCTCTAGGTTGTGTGGGACTAGCCTAGCACCTCTAAAGCCTGCGCAAATGTTCTCTCTAGTGAACGCCTTACTAAATGCTAATTTAAAGGCTAGCAGGAAGGTTTCCTTATTAATATAGTGGATGCGACTGTGTGCCAAGGCCAAAACCTTGTCGCTATACAGGCGCTTTAGTGGCGAGAAGCAGGCGATGTTAAGTGGCTGCAACAGGTGCGACGAGTGCGGGGGCATACAGAGAGTGATTATCTTCTTCTCTCTGCAGAGATCTTAGAAAGCCACTAAGCAGTGGCTCTTATGGCTGTCAATAATAAGTAGCTGGTAGACCCTAACTAGCTTCGCATGCGTATTAAAGTAGTAGAGCTAGGCAAGCACTAGATTATTATTAGTCTAGCTAGTAGGACTAACATTAATAACCTAGTCCTATAGGAGGTCCTTAGTAAACTAGTTAGAGATAAGAACCTTGCCTGCAAGGATAAGGAATAGTAGGATAACCTTCCCTGTTAACCTAACGCCTTATACTAGGGTAACCTACTTATAATTGCTAGGTTAGATCTTCTTCTGCTTCCTAGGCTTCTCTAAGCCTGTTACTACTAGCTGCAACAATATCTTGCCTATTAGGAAGCTAGACTTATTAAAGTTATAACGTAGATTATCACCAAGCTGGCCATATCACCAAACCAGCCATTTTCTCTTAGCACAACTAACACAAGTTACTGCAACTACAACTACTTGCTATTAAATAGTGACCTAGCATACTGCGTGCTTGCATTAGATTTAGAAGATGTTTCTGCACCCTCCTAGCACGTTCGTGCGTTGTGTCTAGTTTTGCTGTAGTTCCTACAGCGCTGAACAGTTGACTAAGCTCCTAGTTGACCACCTCTACCCCAAGTCTTCTTAGATGGCTGAGCTGCTACACACGCCTCAGCAGCTACCCGCGATGCTGCTGGGCCATACTCAAGTGTGCCACCATGCTGAATCTGCTTTCTCTTACGCGATTTTCTCTTAGTCATTACTGCTAATTGCTCTTCAAGCTCTCGCACGCGGGCCTTAATAAGGACGTTTTTGTGCAGCATCTCTTTAGCCCCTTTTACAAGCTTTAAGAACCCCTCTTGCGCTGTACTTAGTAATTGTTAGAAGGAGTCACTTATAAGCTTAGATTAAGACCTAAACTTGTATATATTGCTTAGTGTCT